TCTTACTAAAAATCTGCTTCCCAGCCTCAAAACAGAGCAATAGGAATGAGATATTCTGAAGATTTTTCTTAATTATAGTTTTTAGGTAGTGCTCTTTAGGCAAATACATTCAATTTATTTAAGATATTTTGAAAACTGTTCAGAAATTTGAAAAGCACAATTCTTACTCAGTCTTTTGGCATTGTTAGGTTAGGGTTACACCATCACCTATGCATGCCCAGCTTTTGCTTCTTCTGCTTTGGACCATGGGATATTCCCGATAAATGTTCCATGAAATTTTGGAGTATTGCAGTGTAACGGACACACCAGAATCCAAGCATATCGAATCATAGAATGGTTTGGGTTGGAAGGGACCTTAAAGATCATCTAGTTTCAACCTCCCTGCCATGGGCAGGGACACCTTCCACTACACCAGGTTGCGCAAAACCTCATCCAGCCTGGCCTTGAACACCTCCAGGGATGGGGCAGCCACAACTTCTCTGGGCAACCTGTTCCAGTGCTTCACCACCCACAGAGTGAAAAACGTCTTCCTTATATCTAATCTAAATCTCCTCTCTTTCAGTTTAAAGCCATTCCCCCTTGTCCTATCACTACACACCCTTGTAAAAAGTCCCTCTCCAGCTTTCCTGTAGACCTCCTTTAAATACTGGAAAGCTGCAATAAGCCTTTTTTTCTCCAGGCTGAACAGTGTATATACAGTGTGTTTATATATATATATGTGTGTGTGTATATATATATATAGTCATATATAGTTATAGTCCTTATGTTCCATGATTCCTAAACAGATTTATTTCCAGTGCAAGAATTAGTTATTTTGTGAACAGGAAAGCCAACAAAATTTGGCATCCAACAGACTACTATCCTTAGGACTGTGTGCCACCGCAAAATCCTTGTATGTCTCAGCTACCTCCTTTGGCTGACCAACTCGTGGGAAATGTCTGTATCTTCTGGCACATGTCGAGCTAGGCATACACTGTTCAGCTGGCTGTCTCCTGCTAGAAGGAATGGATAGCTTAGTTTTCCATTACTCTGGGATGTCCTTAAGGACTTTTCTCTGTTCTACCTGACATCATCTGTAGAAATTGTATCTTTGCAATTTGTTTCTTTTGATCAAAATTGGTTGAAGCTGTTCAATGGGAATAGTGGAAGGGGGACTGGTGGAAACCGGGTAAGACAGAACAGAAGACAGATAGACAGCAAGACTATGTAAAAATTTTCTTAGAAAGCCAGGCTAAGATTTCTATCTTCATTTCATAAACAGTTTTAATATTTTCTTATTCTGTTAGATGTGTAATGGCTGTTACTCTGTCTTATCTTGAGAAAGTTGCTGAACATTTTACTACTCTTCTGGATTAATTGGCATAGGGCTAAGTCTTAGGTTTCAGGATTGTTGCTGTAGTGATAGAAGTGACAGTAAATTATTTTCTTGCTTTTCTTTTGCCTACTGTTTCTACATCTTTGGTAGGTTTGTTTAAAGAGAAATCATAGTAATTTAATCTTTGCCAAAGTTGTTCGTAGACTTTTATAAGTGAAATGTGGAAGGAATTGATGGGAATTTCCTTTTGCTTTATTGGTAATGTGTAAAATATTTCTATACAGGTAGAAGAAGGCTGGTGGAGTGGAACACTAAACGGCAAGGCAGGGTTGTTCCCTTCAAACTTTGTGAAAGAATTGGAATTGACGGATGATGGAGAAACACAGGACACTCCGGATGACACAGGTGGCATTCTGTTTGTTGTAAAGCCTTAGCAAAGTCATTTTAGATTTCAGGTGTAATTTGGAGTATTATGGTTGTAGTACAACAAAAGTTACAAAGAATTCAAGCTTCTTAAGAATGGTTAAGTATTTAATTTCATTCTAGAAAATATTGATGCTGAGTATGAAGATACCTGTCTTGCTCCCAGTACACTTCTAATAAAATTGCACTCAAGGTCTTGATCTTGAAAATGTATATTCTGCATTTTATCACTAGAAATTTTATCACATTCAGAGTTGAGCATTTTAGTGTTAGATATAAAATTATTCTTCCATTTTTAATACTTTTTTTCAGTCTTACTCTTACTGTCATGAGTTCTCTAACATGAAAAACTTAAGTGGTTAACTATGTCAGTTGAGAATTAAAACTTGAATCAAAGCAAAACAGTATAGAGAGCCTCAAGTTCAAATGAATCTTGAGAAGGCCCTGGTTCTTTATTATGTTTTAATCTGACAATAAAATGTTTTTTAAGGAAGGATTTACATTTAGCTGTTCCTTTGCGGCTGTGGCTATGTAGCTCAGACAGAAGCAGGTGGTCTGTGGCTGAACAGTATTTGGGTGCTGAGGGGTGCCAGGCAGCTGCCTGCTTCACAGGCAATTACTGTGTTCCCTTGAAACTGCACTTCAGAGGATTTCTGTCTGTGAAGACCTGCTGGAAGACTGAAGACTTTTGATATGATACTGGTGGAATGGGAATGTTCTTTGGGAACAGTCTTAAAGCGAATTAAATGATGCTTAAAGATGGCTGTATAATATTCAAGGGGAAAAAGTAATTTATTTTTTTTTAGTGTTATTCTTTTCCCTTGTAGTAATGTGCACCCTCGTTTATTAGATGTTCTGTATTGTTTCTAACAAGGGTTGCTTCAGAGGCAGGAAAGAAAAGTCTCACTTAGATTGTTTTTGGTAAATTGTGGAAATGATTTCAGTAGTATAAAACAAGAGTTGTTTGATTTGAGCAGTTCCAAATAGCTCAGTGGCTGTCTCCTTGGAGGTCAAGTTCACTGACTTTAGTGGAGTCTAGTGAGATGAATTTACAAATGGATATGTGTTGGTCTTAATTCCTGAACATTGAGATCAGTGGGACTGAACAGTAATTTGAAGTGATTGTATTTTCTGTCAGTTACTAACAAGTTATGATTTTCAGCCTCTCACACTCTGAGGGGTTATATTTAAAGCTCAGTACTTTCACAGTCAGGATCTCAAGTGTCTGCCAGGGATCCTGGGAAACAGTAAATGCCCCATTCACCGAGCCGTGGTCTTTCAAACATGCAACCTGGACTTTTATCATCAATGAAATGCCTAGCTATCCTTTTAGATATCTAAGAGGGATATAACTAAGCTAAGAGTTAACTCAGTTGAGGAAAAAGTGAGAAACTGAAGTCAAGTGACTGTAACATCGCAGTATTATCAAAACCTTTTAAATTTATGTTTGAGGAAAGAGGCTTTAATCTTTATTGCAATTCCCAGAAATGCGTACTCTGGAAAGAACTTAACTGAAAGGCTAAAAGATGTGTAGGCTATTTTGAATTTGTTTTATAACAGCTGTCTATTTTCACATGACTGTTTCCTGGATTTCTGCATGTGGAAATAGTTTGCTCATGAATTCTAGTTTGTAGGTTTTAACAGACTTGACTGTAACTTAAAAATAAAATAAACAGTAGAAAAGTCTAAAAAGCTCGTAACACATAAATTAAGTTCTTCTGAACTACGTTTTTTGGAGGTGGATAAATGTTGTCCCTTAAAACTGCAAGATTGAAAGAATCTTAAATACGTGTGTTATCTACCAGTGATTAATCTCAAACAACTACATCTGATTTGTATGCTTAACTAATTTAAAATAGGTTTTAAGTGTTACCAGGTTAGAAAGCTGTTTAAATAAATTTGCAAGAAACTCTTTTCAGGTACTCTTGGTAGGCCGTTTTAAGCAATAGGGAAATTTCACTTTGGTGCCTTGGGAGGCATCACTCTGCTACTGAAATGTTTTTTTCCTGTAGCTGTTGAAACATGGTAAGGCTCATTATGGTCCATTATTGATTATTGCTCTCAGCAGCTATAGCTGGGCAAATGATAAGCTTTTAAATGTTGGACTGAAAACACATCTTCAGAGAATATGTAAGCAATGTTTCTTAAAACTAATGGAAAACATAACGTTGACATTAACAGACTGTGGAGCCTGGGTGATAATTGAAATAGCAAGAAATACTAGTGATCTAATGACTTAGTTGCCAGAGTATCCAAAGCAATACTGATGTAATTTCAAATAGTTTTATGTTAAATATACAACTAGAGCAAACGTGAGGCATTACAGCTACAAAAATGTTTCTAGAAAGGCTGTTTAGCAAGAGCAATGCACATAACTGTGTTACTTCCACTTTTTCCACAGAAAAGCAAATAAATAATTTCAGATATTAAAACAACTTTTTCTTTCTTTTGGTATTTTTTTACTTTCAGAGTCTGTTTTCAGTGGTCCTACCTCACCTGTGGCCTCTCCAGGAAATGGGAGTGAACCTGGATCTGGACCAGCACAGCCAAAGAAAATTCGAGGTATTGGATTTGGAGATATCTTTAAAGAAGGCTCGGTGAAACTTAAGACAAGATTATCCAGTAATGAATCAGAAGATAAAAAGCAAGATAAGGTTTGTAGCAGTTCATATTGTTATTTTTGGGTTTCCTGTAAAAATAATTTAAAAGATGTGGAGTCTGAAGACATAGTATCTTACAGATGCTGAATATTTGTCATTTTAAAATTTCTCAATATTTTCATAATCAGACCATGATCATCTCATAGTGCTCGTCTATAAAGCAAAACAAACCCCCTCAAACTTCTTGCCCAGAGAGGTGGTGGATGCTCCATCCCTGGAGACGTTCAAGGCCAGGTTGGATGAGGCCCTGAGCAACCTGATCTAGTTGGAGATATCCCTGTTCCTTGCAGGGGGGTTGGACTAGATGACCTTTGAAGGTCCCTTCCAGCCCTAACGATTCTATGATTCTATGATTCTTTCATAGTAAGTTATATTTAACATTGATTCCAAAAGGTCTGTTCAAAGTCTTGGTGTTTCAAACATAAGAGAAGGAAAACCAAGCTGATATGAAAATTGTCATTTCAAAGCAACGTGGTGTAAGATGTAATAAATTCTTGAACACATCTACAGTACAAAGTCTCTCATAGGTCTCTTTGTAACAGACTTTGTATATAATCTGGGACAAGCCTGTTAAGTCTTCCTATACAATTTAAACTTTGTTTTTAAAACAAAGAATATTTTTTATTTTTCTTTAGTTTTCTGTTTTGTTTTTTTTTTTCCAAGTTTGGTAGATGTTGAGATTGATGTTCTGGGCGTCAGCTGTCAATTACCAGTGTAAATGTCCTTCAGTGAATGCTGCCAAACTTTTAGCTTTGGTGGTGTCGTAGGTTAACAAGCTACATAAACTACTGATTGTGTAAGCCTGAGAAAATCTGGTTTACAATTTTAGATCCTCTCTCATTTTCTTTTCCCCCTTTTTTTCTGAGTGAGAGGGAAAAGGAGTGCTTTTATTCTCTATATCGAAATTAAAGCTTAGGAGAGAGCAGATAATGTGATGATCATGAAATTGCTTTAGTTTGAGTTTTGTTTTGGTCTGAACCTGAAAGCACTCTTACTGCTTGGAAGCAGAACAGCGATGCTCAGTCCTTTATCTCAAACTTAGGCATCGTTTATATCAAGAGCTTATGTATGTGTTGTCAGCTTCTGATAAATTAAAGGCAGCTGATATAGTCTGGTGTCTCAGTTTTTACTTGGCTGTTCAATTCAAGAAAGCTTTTAAAACCCTTTGTCTAATTTAAGTTTGTTGTCTGTGGGTTATGATCGTTAGTGCTGTTTTGCTGACTGATTTGCTTTCCTCTGCTGCTGTGGAAATAATTGTAAAGGTGTAGGGCAAAAGGTGGAGTGAGTCCCTGGGAAGAGGGTAGAGACAGAGACTTCCTTGAATGTATTTTTCGCTCTATGGCAGTGCGAAGAGCAAAGCTCATCCACCTATAGGCATGATGTGTATCCTCTTTGTTTCTGGTGCAGTCATAACATCAGATGATTCAGAAAATGAAAATTAAGGCTTGGAGAATGTTATCTCCCAAGGAAGATGTTAATCTTGAAGAAGAGAAGACTTTGGGAAGACCTTTCGGTATATAAAGAGGACTTATAAGAAAGATGGAGAGAGACTTTTTACTGAGGTCTGTAGTGACAGGACAAGGGGTAATGGTTTTAAACTGAAAGAGGGTAAATTTAGCTTTTACATAAGGAAGAAATTCTTTGAGGGTGGTGAGGCACTGGAACAGGTTGCCCAGAGAAGTTGTGGCTGCCCCATCCCTGGAAGCGTTCAAGGCCAGGTTGGATGAGGCTTTGAGCAACCTGGTTTAGTGGCAGGTGTCCCTGCCCATGGCAGGGGGTTGGAACTAGATGATCTTTAAGGTCCCTTCCAACCCAAACCATTCTGTGATTCTATGAAGGCACATTTTGCTTTCTTTGGTTCTCTCCAGGCTTTGTCTCCTGAACTGTGGGTCTGTGGGATCACTACGTGTTCTTGTGGATGGTGTTTGACTAGGGTTTCAGGACTGAGCTTTCAAGTTAACTTTCTTGTCATGAGATTGATCATTCAAAAGCATGTTTCCCTACTTTATACCTTATAACTTGGAAGTGTAAAGAGCCTATCTAAAAAAACAAGTTCAATTAATACAAACTCTGCTTCAACACTTTCAATTGTGTTATTCGACCGTGTATAAACACTGAAATATGCTGGTGCTCTGTTTTGTTAGTTGGCTTGTCTGGAAAGTTGTTGCAGGCTGTTCCTCAACAAGAGGGGAAATGAAGTGAGAAAACAGTTTTACATAGCCTAAAGATAATGAACAGTTGAGTTTAGCAGTTACGCTTGTTGCCAAAGTCATTCCAAAGGTGGACAGACTTACAGAACAACATGGAGAGCCCTAGGGAGATAATTTTAATGAAGGTCTTGCGAAAATGGAATGGCTTCTTTGGATTTGTGCTCAACTCACGTTGGAGTTAGATGGAGGGGTGCTGGAAGGGCATTCTCAGTCTTTAAGCCAGTGGGAAAAAAAAAGCTGTCATCAGGAAACTCCAGATCAGAGGCTTTTTTCCCTTGGGCAATTTGGAGATTGTTCAGCACAGGAATGCTGAGTGCTGCTATGTCTGAAGTGCTCAAGAGTATTGTATGCTCCTACAGGAGACAGTGAGATGGACTTCACTGGTCCCAGCAACCTGCCTGCACTCAGGCTATTTATACCCTGTCTGCCTAAACTTCCTCTTGTGTTGCTAATTGCATCTCATTTTGGAAGGGGGAAATGTAGAGAACTATTTCCATGTTGGACTTGTTTCATCTCATAAGTGGGTTATTTTAGTACTTCCTTCTTATAGCATTTTGGAAGAAGTTAAATTGCATATGTACTCCAAGAACATCCCAAGTGAGTGTGGCTTCCTCTGTGGTATGTCAGGGGTACCAAACACCAGCCCACAGGCATCATCTGGTTTTAAGGGGAGTAAATCTGGTTTCTTTGACAGTACAAAGTCTGTGAAGTTTAACTGTGAATGAAAATGAACAGAATAACTAAAGGCAGTGGGATTTTTCACATCAGTAACACTGTTAGGGCTGCTGAGGTAAGTACTGACTGTAAGATCATATGCTATGTTTGGAGCTCGTAGGGCTGCGAAAAAGTAGATGCAACTGAAGCTGTCGAAACCTTCCTGGCAGCTCAGTAAGCCTTTTGGGAGTGGGGGGAAGTATTGGCACAATTATTTTGGTTAGGTGTTAACTCTGAAACTTGTTACCAGTGGCAATGCCTCTGGTTTTTTGGTTCAGGAGAAATCTCTCGTGACACTTACTTGTTCTGGTTCTGTTCTGCACGAATTGCTAATAGTGGAGGGAAGCTGGGATGGGCTTTCATGTGCTCTTACATTTTTCTGAGTGGTTAAAAACTGATTGCCTCTTCAGCTGAGGTGGTGTATGGCTACTGAATATTCCTGTTATTCCGGTGCAAAGTCAGTGTTGTCAGCAAGTTACTTTCAGCAGAGCTCTTATATAGGGGCAATTTTCAGGATAATGGAAGAGTAGCACTTGGAAGTGCTTAAGTACAACTGCAACAGCAGTATCTGGCAATGTCCTGAGTTCGGCTTCCAGTTGAAAGGCTGTGCTGTGTCTTTAATCATTAGACAAAATTCTAATTGCAGTGGTTGTAATGAAGTGCCTACAGTAAGTGAAGTACTTAATGGGAAAGATCATTGAATCTCTTGCAGATGATCTTCTCACCATCTCAACTAATGAAAACCCGAGTATGTTCTGTAGCCTAATCAAAAAAAACCAAACTTGTAATGAGCTTTTGTTAATGAAGTTCTTTCATTCATATAGCCATCACCTAACCATCCCTCTGGAACAAAGCTAATTCATTTTCCCAGTACAACAAAAACTGAAAACTCATCAGAAGTAGTAAAACCAGAAGCTGAAAGTAAACCAAAAGGTAAGGCTGATGGAAATATATATATCTGTTACTTGGTAGTCCTCTGCAGAGAAGTATTTGGTTGTCAGTTGGTTTTTATTGTGTTAAAATCTTAAACTTTTGTATATACTGGGGTTTTGTGTAATGTGCTGTACCTTTGAGAAGTTACGCAAATGCAGAAGAGTCTAAAAGAATTTTTGTTTGCATCTATGGAAAATGAATCAAAAACATTTGTAGGGTTGTCTCCCAGAACAAAATAAGGCTAGGGTATGAAGTTTTATTGCAGCAGCCTCTTTCTATTAATTTGCTACGCTGACATACTCAATCTGACAGACTTTCTGCCTGGCTTTTAGTGTTCAGCTGAGATGCTGGAAATCTATTACCGTGGAACAGTCCCCAAACTCCGTTTCTGTCCCTAGGCTATAGAATTGACTCTCTAGGCTCAGGATTTACTGTGGAGTTGCCAGTGTGCTGTCGTAACTGTATGCTAAGTTTCTTGCATCAGAAAGTTGGCACATAGGTTTTGTTGAAGTCTGTTCCCTAGATAGTCCAGTTGCATTGTGGTTCTGTTTATAACTTATTTTTCTTTTTTTATTATCTCTAAGAAATTATGACTTCATGTAACTGCAAAATTGCATAGTTTTATCTAGAGAGATGTTTTAAAGTCAACCCAAAACATCTTGTGGAAGTGCCAGCCCTGTATAAAAAAATTAACTTCAATTATGTGATGTGTAGACAGCTCATTTGGCCTCATTGCAGAGCAGATTGATTTTTTGACTTCTGTATTATTATTTCAAGTATATTTTTATTTTATGCAGAAATACCTTATTTTGGTGTAAGTGGGTTGTTTTACATAGAACACATAATTTGCAGAAATAAGAAAACTGTAACAAACAATTGACTCTTTGCCTGTGCTCAGGAGTTGTGTAATCTAGCACAACAGGGCACTTGAAATGTCATGTTTGTTAGTCAGAGCCCAAGTTTGTCTGTAGCTATAGCAGTGTATAGGGCATCTGTGCCATTTTAGCCATGTTTTGGTTTTATTGAATTGGATAGCTATAAACAGCATGACCACGTTTACAAACAGCTGATGACTGTCAAGAAGTGTTTGAGGTAATGACTTGAGAGTAGTTATATGTTTTGCAATGGTAAAGTTTATCAAAAGTTTGCGCATGATGCGTTGGATGGAAGTTGATGCTTGTTTGCAACTTTGAAATCTTTACTAAACGTCAAAATTGGGATAGTCTTGGGATCTTGCTTTTAAACCATTCCAGTGCTATTGCTGTGCCAGCAAGACAATGTTCAGCCCTGAGCATTGTTGAATTTGACTTGTCTAAAACTTTGCATAAAAATTAACCCAAGTCTGCCTAAAAAAATCCGAACATTCAGTACTGAGCACTCAGGGCATTCAGTATTTAGCCCTTTTAGAATTTCAGGTGCATCTCATGCTGAAAGCATAGAAATTGGACTAATCCAGTAGCCATGCTGAGTCTCTGCTTCACAGAGAAACAAATGCATCAGAGGAACTTAAATATGGTAGTAGTAGGTGCTGTAGGAGAACATCAGTAGGTAATACCTATAGACATCATTTAAGAACATCCTATAACCTTTGGAAAAAAGCTCGATTTTCTTCCTTAGTGTTTTTATTTTAATCTAGACCATATTATATTTTATATATATCATCCTCAGTTTTGAGAGAGCAGGTTTAAAATAAACTGGGTTCAATATGTTAGCAAATAAACAGAGATCTCTAAAATGTTTAGACTAGTGTGGCTTGTTTTGTGGTGTGGCTCTGCTATTTCTGGGAAGCTTATTTTGGCCTCTGGTGTAAGTATGTAAAAATATTTTGTTTAAAAAAAATAAGATAATCACAATTTGACCCCTCTTTCCCCTATTATGTTAAAATACAACATCTGTGATTCCTGCTACTGTATTGTTAGTCCTGAGTCATTGGAAAAGATTCAGTTTTAAACTACCTTTTAGTAAAAATATTTACTAAAGTTCAGATCTACTGTTTCGTAAGTACCATCTTAGATTTAAATGCTGGAAAGCTAAACTGGACTCTTTGTCTTAACTACTGGCAGAATATCAGGCTTGGGAAATGGTACATGCTCTTGATGTTCATGGCTGGGTTTCTTGGGTGATGCTGGCTGCTGGGCTTGGCAACCTGGCACATACAGGGACCTTGGCAGTCTGCAGGGCGTGGGGCTCCCTGTCTCCAGCCTTCCTGGCAGCTGGAGCAGAGGGAAAGATTCCCTTTCTGGCATGGTTTCTGTCTGTTGTAGGACTTGGTGTTTATGAGGAGGGGAGAAGTGGTTGGAGGAGGAGGGGAGGAAAGAACTGTGTAGTCTGTCTGTACTGGCCAAATCTCCTGGCAGTAAGGGAATGCATGTATTTTTACAAAACCATGAGATATAGAAATGTGTTACACTTATGTAACATTTGCTCATTACTAATGAATAAAGTTCCTGAATTTGATAGATATTGGTAGTGTACCTGTTGAATTTTTTGAGTCAGTGTGATATTTTTTTTTGTGGACCCCAGTTTAAACATTCATGTCTTTGAGATTGTTCTTCTTGTGTTTCTGTAATTTTTCACAAACCACAATATAGTCAATCTATAGTTGAGCATTTTTGATCACTAGATAAGGCAGTAAAATAATGCAAGTTCTTATACCTAGAATTACTCATGTGGTTACATATCTAGGTATAGTTATATAGATTTTTTTATATATATATGTGTGTGTGTGTGTGTATATATATATATATATCTTAAGCTTGACTTAATTTTGCATTTTAACATAGTGGTTGTCACTGACCAAGGTAGATTTTTATTTAAGGATACAATTTGTGCAGTTTTAAACCGAAGATTTGCATCTTGATGAAACAAAATACAACAACAAGATTCCACTGCAACTCACTCATTTACTTTCTCACCATCCAGCAAAAGGCAGTCAGTAAGACTTGCAGACAATCCTAATGATGGCTTGATGCTGTGCTGCTCTCTAACTGGGGGTTGATGCAGCTGCTTACCCCGTGTTGTCAGTGCCAAATACCTGATAGGTTATGGAAGCACATTAGAGTCCTTTTTGTTTGCTTCCTGTTCCTTAATCTGTCAGGTACAGAAATCCAGCCTTTTTATCTGCTAAATAATTTTAAATGTGCTGGGGTTAAAGAAGGTGCAAAAAATGCTTTGCAATCAAGACTTCTATATTAATGTACTTTGGCCTTTCTCATGCTGTTTTTGTTCTAGTGTGGGAAAGGAAAACAAATCCTCCTGCTTTTTCACCTGAAATTGTTATCAGAATTTTAAATGGATTAGTTATTGAATTGTACCAAACGGAAAGAAAGGAATTATTCTTTCTACTCTTGCAGAAGAGTCTGTGACTGTCTGAGTTGATCACTCAGATGAGCTCTGATTTCAGGTGCTTAGCCAAGGAATTCCCTTGCTTCAGTACTTGATTTCACCGCAGAACTTCAGCAAATGTGCTGCTTGGGTATTTGAAGTTTCTGCAATTGTAGGTGCTAATAAAGGATGTCACCTTGATACAATTACATGTATTTAGTTAGGATTGCAAACCTGAAGTTTAGATGAATTTTCAGAAAATATCGTATAAACTTTCAGTAAAAAGCTTGAAACCATTTTTGTCTAAAGTAGCTCAAAATGGAATGGATAATGCTATGGAAAGGATTAGATAGGCTGTTACAGGTTTAACTGAGTAGGTTCTTCTTTTCTGCCTCTGAATTCAGAGTACTTGAATAAGTTGCTGTTGTGGAAAAAATGTTTTGGAGCTTAAACTACTGACTTCACAAGGATTTTTGTCCATTCCTCTGTAAATGTATAATCTTATTTTTCTTTTGAGATGAATGACATAGTGAACATTTTATAAAGCAGTCTCAGATGGCTGGTCTAGAAGGGAAGTATGATTATAGTGGTAATTTCTGATCTCTTCTTTCAGACTGCTTAAGTGAGCTGGTGTTATGTATGTTACTACCCATGGCATGCAAATGTAGTTAACTGTGCTGCTTTTGTTTCAGCCAAGGAATATTGCAGGACAATATTTTCCTATGAAGGCTCAAACGATGAACTCAGCTTTAGAGAAGGCGAGATCATTCAAATAATCAGTAAGGTAAGACGTTTGGTCTGCTTTAACCATTTATATAGCTTTTGCAGATTTGTACAGGGAGATAATGTGTAAAATGTGAAAACAGGAAAGTTTCTTGGTGTAGACATTCCTGAAGACTGCTTTGTCTCATGTGAGAGTCAACTCTTTGCTTCTGTACTCAGTGGAGATACAGATGTCCTTAAAGATCATTCCAGGGTGGGAAGTTATCTTAGATTCCTCAAAGGCAAGTTAGAGCAGTGTACACCCGGTACCAAATGCCTTTTCAGTGAGGAAATCAGAAAAGCTTTGCAAATAGCCCTTTTACCTCCAAAACTTGTTCTTTTTCTCTGGTGATATATCAGCCTGACGTAGAGTTGATGGTTGGAAAGTATTACTGTGTCAAAAAGTGAGAAATTAAGAGCTGTACTTACTGATTTTTATCCAGATATTACAAAAAAAGCCTGAGCAAGTGTTTTCAGTAGGAGAATGAAGTCCAGGTGTTAGAGGTACTTGATGTTTCAGAATAGTCGTACAGAAGTTAATGATACTGTCTGGCTATTTAGAGAAACATGATTATTCAGTTGAATGTTCTTAGCTGTGCTGAATGTTGAAAGCACCTTTTTGAACGGTCATCTTGTTGTAGAAATGGTTTCAAACAAGAAGTGAACCCACCCATACTTAATTTCCCTGCAGTACTCTGCAGTCTTTTTTATATGCTGCTATATTAAGGAATAATGACATGCCTAAAAAAAGTGGAAAGCTTCCTTGTTTTCAGCTTTCATACAGTTGCAGAAGAAAAGTAAAACTTTTTTCTTTAGGAGGATTTTAAATTTGTGGAGAAGATGGCTGCTTTTCTTAACAAGAAAATTGATATTATCAGTATTATTTACTGTAATTACAGTGAAAAGAGTAGTTACAGAAGGCACTTTTTGAAACACAACAGCCCTTGCCCCATCTTCACTGAATCTTTTGCCTCTCTGTCCTTTTAAAACCAATTTACCCAAAGCATACAGTGGTCCAAATTGGAGTGAAGAAAAGATATTCAGAGCAGAGCTCTCTCCCTCCAAAACCATCTTCTGAAGTCTATTAATGTAACTTTCCAGGATTTTGGTCTTACAAAGTGTTAAGGTTTCTGGGTGTGTTGTATTTATTTTTTTTTGGATGTTGGGGGTTTGTTTGGGTTTTTTTAGCACATACACTTTGTATAAAGCCTGTCTCTCTTGGCCATTTCTTTTCTATTTGTTCTGCGTATGATTATTTTCCATGGAGTTGTCTCTGACTTGCTAGCATGCTTCAGCACTGTCTAAATGAAGTTTATCAACAGATGCCTTATCCCATTCATGACTGCATGCTGTTCAGAAATTGGACTCTGTAGTACTTAATTGAAAGGGTGACGGAGGGCGAAATGAAAGAAAACTTGAGCAAACTTTTACTTTCAGTGCTAATTACCTATTCAGTGTTTTTTTCCCTGCTGGTTCCTCCTTTAGTTTAATGTGGGATGAGATTTTTTCAAAAATTTTATTTTAGAACTGATTTTTTTTCCCCCCTCTCCTTTACCTGTTCAGTATGTCAGCTGAACTGAATACTCAGTTGTCCTTTTTGTGTACTGAACTTTGAAATGAACTACTTAGTGGTGCTAACAGTGGCCCATATCAACAGTAATCCTTTTGAACTTGTATGCAGGAGTGACATCTGCAGTATTTTGGAGCTGAGGCACAGAGGAAAGCTGTTACTTATGCTGCTAAAATATTCAAATAACGTCATTCTTTCTGTTATAGCCAAACTAAGGCCTCGATCCAGTAAGATCATGTAATGGATGTCTGCGCTACTGAATTAATTTTCCATTATTTTTTTTTCTTATGTCTTAATGTGGTTATTTTTTCCCTCACTAGGGTGTATCCTCTTGTTTCTTCACCCTTTTCAGACTAGTGAACCTGATCAGTCACATCAGAATCACTTTTATTTTGTAGAATTGTGTGTTGGTTCAATGACACTTGAAGTATTTACTGAGTAAGTTGCCAGTCAAGGAAGTTGAGAATATTGAATATTGTGCTTTGGGTTATAATGGGGTTTATGTACTTTCCTTCCCTTCGCAAATCTTATCCTTATACACTTATCTTATATATGATGTAATACCGCTTCATCCTGTTTTTTAGAAAACAAACAAAAAGTGACCAAACCTGATCTGATCTGTAGCTGTTTCCCCTTGCTAAGGTGCACAAAGTATTCCTCTTATAATGGTGATATTTCAGACAAATGATTATTTTTGTATTATGGGTAAAAGCAAAAATGTTGTTCTGGTAACTATGTGCTCTGGGGAAGAGGTAAATATTGATTGAAATGTCCTGTTGTTTATTTTAGGACACTGGAGAGTCAGGCTGGTGGAAAGGAGAACTCAATGGTAAAGAAGGAGTCTTCCCAGATAATTTTGCTGTTCAAATACAAGAGTCTGATAAAGACTTCCCTGTAAGTTCTTATGTGTGTCGTTTAGTATCACAAAAAAGCATTGATGGAAATGCAAGGAGTAAAAGACTTAAAGACTTCACAGCACGTTATGCTGCTTAAAACATTATGATTGTGGCAGTTTTTAACTGACCTTGAATTAATTATATCAAAGAAGAAAAATTTGCCTGTAATTAATGAGGAAGATTAGGTCATATAGAAAAGGATATTGTTCTGATAATATGGTGTTATGTGTAACTGATTGCTGAATTAAACCCTTACAGTTTAGAAGGGAAATAACCAGTTGGTCTCTTCAATCTGTAGTCCTGTAAGTAACTCCTTACTGAATGACCTCTGTGGGACTGACTGCGATTTCTCCATGTTAAGACTTGTCAGTAGGTTGCAGTGTGTGAAGGATAATCTTTGGGTGGGATCTAGCTATATATTTTTTTCACCATCTCGTGCTAAATTGTAGAAATACATGTTTTCAGGTGGTACTCCTTGGTCTTGTAATTTTGGTTCTCATTTTGTAATTTTTTTTGTTGACATTAGTGTGATGTTTTGCTTCTGACAAGTTCGTGTAGCAAAGATGGTTGTGTTAATTCACAAATGTACATCACCCCCAGGTGGGACGGATTCAGATCCAGATAAGGGCATCTAAACGTTGAAGCCTGTATCTCAGCAGAACAGAGTTTCATAGTAATTTATTGCCATTTGGACTGGAATTGGAGACATTCACAGAGGATTGCTAGGTACAACCTGACAGATAGTTATTAACTTAATATTGAACCTTGGTAACCTAACATGCACAGAAAGTCTAGCTTCTACTCGAAGTCAGTGATTTCTTTTCAAATAGATTCTCAGCTTCACAAGGGTGGCATAAATACTGTAACATACACTGACTTGATTTGAGAAGTGAGTGGATAATATCACTGTTTTGAAGCACAGAATTGCTCCCTTTAGCAAGGGAAAAAATTATTCTTTTACCATAAGCAATGTTTCCTCTAGACAGACGTTGCTTTCCTCCTTTATTCTGCTTTGTGTAGTGGACCTCAGTATAGGGATTCACCTTGCACTGAGCAGCTTAGAAGTTGAAGGCATTGGATGGTTCATTATTATAATCAGCTATTTGATATTGACTTAATAAAAGCACAGATCAGAATCATATAATGGCAAGTTGGTGCTGAATTCTCAGTGTAATTGTTTTTGATATAAGCAGCAGTGCTGCACAGCTGGATAATGTATTTACTCTTTTGGGAAAGAAAGAGAGTATGGTCTTGTTATTCACGTTCAGTAGCTTTTGTGTTCTCTGGAACTGGAGAAAGAAATTTAATAGGGATTTTCATGCTTGCTTAATTACATTTCACTGTCAGAATAAAATCTCCCTATATTAGGAAGAGCTTATCCAGTAGCAGTAGGAGCACAGAAGTTAAGTTCATCCATAGCAACTGTTTCAAACACAATCACTACGAGGCGTATTTGGAGGGGATATGTTAAACTGAACCCATATGGTTTCAGCAGTGTTTGTGTAAAGAACAAGTGTTTTTGTAGGCTTTTGTGATCGTTTTATCAGTGAGTCTTGTCCTTAGTACAACCACAAAGATGCCTCTTCTGGAGCATTTTCATGAATCAGATTCTGAGGATGAGGTGGCTTGAGATGTCTGTCCTGAGAGGTGCTAGTACTCCTTCAACAGGAGAGAGAATCAAATTCAGTTTTGCCAGTTTAAGGAGAGTGATGAGTGACTATTTTAAAGTAAAGCTTTTCAGTGTACAAACTGTGACACCGTAGTACTTCGTATTTTTTTAATGGCTAGAGTAGTTTCCCCATTTAAATATACAGTGATAAGGAAGCTCAAAACAATGTTTATGCTGCAAACACTGCTAACTATTTTTTTTCATCTTGCACTGTTGTAATTTAGAAGTCAATTAATTGAAATAGTCCTTCTGATATTTAGTTTGGAAACTCTTTTTTTCAGTGAAAGTGGCTATTTTTTGTTCAAAAATACCTGATTAGTCTTTTAAACTTGCATTGTACTAACCCAGATTGAGGTTTACATATTGAAATTAAAATTGGTGAGATCAGAGCAGTTCTTTGGACTAGAAAAGATGTAATTCTTAATTTTTAGTTCTTTGTACCTCTGCTGCTTATGTGTGTTGCTGAAGCACTGATCTGAGATTTGAAGAAACCTACGTTTTGTTCCTGTTTTTGCAGCTGGTTGTCTGGAAGATATCAGAGGAATTACTCCAGTTCTGTTTCCTGTCTGTGAATTGATTGCCTCCTTTGTGAAATATTTTGAAGTCAGCTAGTAAACAAGCTAGACATTGCAGTATGCAAAACAAAATACAAATAAGGCTGTCTTCACCAGAGAATATGTTTGTTTATTTGTCTTATTTTTTTTCTTGCATTTTGCAGAAGCCAAAGAAACCTCCACCTCCAGTTAAAACTCCAGGTACGTAATATATGTATGGTGATACGTGTCTGAGGAAATACTAAATTTCAGAAGCAGTGCATGACTTGAAAAGAAAATTCAGAAGTAGCTTTGTGTTTCCTAGTAATGCAGCCACCTGTAGTCACAGTTTGAGGTGGTTTTTTATGCTTTATGTGTTATGCTGCTGCTATATATTTTTCAAAATTATGATGGAGCCTACTTTGGAAACATTTTAATGCAGGCCTACAGTCAAATGAGTGTTTATAAATGGTATTACACTCCTTGCAAAGGAGAAAATATAAACACAAATTGATGTACATCATATTTTTAGTTAGTGACTAAGATAATTAAAGCTCTTTGAGAAATGTCTATGATGTGTTTTTACGTTCAGCTCCAAAGCCTGAATTGCCAACTGGAGAGAAGAAATTGATTTCTTTGAGGCCTGAAGAAAAAGGTGAGACCAGTTTTCTCCATAGAGAATTTCAGACTACACTCTTGTAAACGAGTTACAATTTTTAGCTTGGCTGCTCTTTGCGATAGGTGCCTGTTTGCAAGACATCGTATGAATCATAGAATCATAGAATGGTTAGTGTTGGAAGGGACCTCAAAGATCATCTAGTTCCAGCTCCCCTGCTATGGGCAGGGAAACCCTCCACTACACCAGGTTGCCCAAAGATGGATTCTCTTGATACTGTCTGCTGAAGTTTTCATGTCTGTGATGTTATGGAAATGGGTTCGGTGTTAAGAACAGCTACAGTTTTATGAAATGTGTATTTCTTGTTATTGTAATACATTATGAAAAATGTTCATCGCACTGCATAATAACATAGTTACTATTTAATTCATTTAAGTGCAGTTCTGTGATAGTGACTGCAGTTTTGAATAGTAAGTTATTAAAAATGAAAACGTTTGCTGCTGCTTCCGAATGTTTTGGCCAGAATCAGTCTCTGATGGAAAATGTTTTTGAATGAAGTACATGAAAACTGTTGCAACACTCCTTAGATGAATAGTACAGTCAAGAAATCTCAATTTCTGAGCATTGTGTCCTGTTAATTCTTGCTACAGTCTGTTTTCCAGTTCCACAGAATTTGGAGATGTTTACCACTTTATTGTTAAATTTTAAGAGATACCTTTTTTCAGAAGAGAAGTTACTATTATCATCCAAACATGTCTAAAATGCTTCTTTCCATATTTGTAAAATTTACCAAGTTAAACTGTTTTGATTGTGTTTAAAAGTTAGAAGCTTAAACAAACGTGCTAGTTGGATCTTAAAGACGACATTCTGATGTTACTGCACCTTAACCATGTTACAAAAACATACTCTGTTCTGTGAATAGTGAACTGTGGCTGACCATGGCTAAAGAGCATTTCAACAAGTCAGCCTGCTCGATGCCTTTCTTGGCTTCCTTGGGCAGTTTTTATAACCCACGTTTTAAACAAAACACATTCTCAGGTGTTTCATATGAAGAATACTTGTTGGTATCAGTTATGTTTCCTCTGCATGTGAGCAAATTCTTCTTGTCTATTGGAACAATATCTTCAGGTGTGAATTGAGATCAGCTGTATGATTCTAGAAGTTTTGATCACTTGGCTATTCGTAAGATTAGGTTTATTTAAACTGCAGTAAGTTTAATTTTAGGCTGATTCTGTTTGTACTGTGATGTTAACCTTTGCACGGTTGAGTTTGGTTGTTTGTGGAGGAATGTAGGCGCTAAAAAAAAGTGTGACACTATCCAAAAAGCTTAGGAACAGGAAAGCTTCTGAAAAATTAAGTTAAAGAAATGTCATTTACTCTGGTACAAGAAATGATGGAGGAAAACTTTTGAATTCAGTTGAAGGTCAGGTCTTAAAAGTTACTTATTTAGATAGCAGTAGTAGTTTACTACAAGACATGCCCATTTATCAGTGCAGTTTTACTTGTAGGGAAAAAAATTCATGTTGATACTAGTGATTAAATCCATTAAGTATGAAATTGTACTTGAAATAGTTTAAAAAAATATCAATTGAGCAGCTCCAATCACAAGCTATCAAACAATGTAATTTTTTGTGCCTGTTGAGAGACTAATAAATCTGCTTTTAATTGTGATCAAAAATTGATCAAAAATTCAAAGCAATACTCCTATAAGTATTTCTGTATTTATAGTGAAGGACACTTAGTGGTATAATGTAGAAATTTTTGTCCATTGTAAATGTCTTCAGATTAATATTTTTGTTTCCATTACTAAACTGCTCATTTTTCGCCAACTCTTTGTCTTTTTCGTTGTGGAGCAAAATCCAGAAAAGAGGCATGCCATTTTGTCCAGCAGAATTGTCCAGTTTCTTTGCTCATGATGAATCTTGGTATTAACTTTTTGCACTTAGCTGTGGACGGTTTTTATATTCAGATTTTGAGTGGAAGTGATTGAAAGGAAAACTGACAGATGGTAATTCGGGGACACGATTTGATGACAGCATTTTTTTTCTGCCCTGTTTATGAACTGCCTTGTTCTTAAAAACAAAAGGCGTAATTCTCGACTTGTGTTCAGCATAGCTGAGTAAAGCTAATTAATCTTCAGTAATGCTGCGGGCTGTTGGGCATTTAAAATTTAAATCTTGTGTATGGATAGGATCAGTAGGCAGAAGTGGCGGGCGCTGTTAACAGGACAATCAGCACCACCAAGTGGCAAAAACCTTCCACTACTTCAGTATTTTATTTTTTTTTTTAACTCGACCCTAAGAGAGACTGGAAGGGAATGCCAGCCAGTTCAGTTTTTTGTTCCTATCCAGCAACTGCAGGATTCGTCCAAAGGAACTCGATCATTTACCTGGTAGTTCAAGCACTTAGCTGGGGTGGAGCTGAACCAAATTTCCAGCCCTTCCCCCAGATCCATAGCATATGGTAAACATTTTACATTAGACCAACAATTGCTTAAAACCAAATGTGTAGGATGAGAGGATGGGGGGAATCAAAGCTGAAGATCAGTCTTTCCATCTAATGTACTGGTTTACTACCCTAAATGTAAAGGACTATAACTCCTTGCTGTAACCTAACAATAATCTTTTAAATCTGTGGGGCTTTATACGTGCCTGAATGAGCCGTAGTGTAGTTTTGCAAGGAAAACCGGAAGATACACTCAGGGTATCCCTCAGGGTGTGATTAGGGAACATGGGTTGAAGACTATTTAACTAACGTGTGAAGCAGCTTGAATTTTTCAGTGCTGTATATATGTCAGCTCCTCTGGACAGTATTCAATTAGGTCATGCACTCATTGAACAATAAATGTAACTTCCTTTTTTGTTTGATTATCGATACCTAATTTCTATCTTGAATTTGTAGGAAGATAGACTTCATCTAAAATAAATTCAGTTATTCAGATAAATAATAATTTCCCCCGCTTTTTCCTGTAAATAAATTATGCTGTTTGTTTGTATGGAAGAAGTCTAGTAACAACAAAATAAAAAAACTAAACTCTACCTTTTTAAGAGGAGATAAGGTGAATTCACAGAGGAGGGAAAGCGATAGCGATACAGAATGATTCTTGGTTCTTAGCTGTCATTTGCATTGCAATAACATGAATCTATAATTTCTTACTGCTGTTTCACATCAGTAGAAAGACATTTTGCCTACTTTAACATGGTGGTTTTTAAGCTCAGGTAAGTAGTTTGTGTGTTTTGATAAGGTTTACCTTAAGACAGTTGCATATCTATTTTTTGCTTTGTTCTTCAAAGAAGTATTTCTGACAGCAGTTGCTTTCTAGTTGACTACCATTGTAAGAATTGTAGACAACATGGGTTTTTAAAACTTCATGGTGGCTTATTTTGTCAGATGAAAAAGGAGCTTTGGATCAGAAGCCTTTGAAGCCACAGGCTCCTCAAGTACCACCCAAGAAGCCTGTTCCTCCAAGCAAGACTAACAGCTTACTGAGAGCAGGGCTTCTGCACCCAAAACGTCCAGATAAACCTGTTTTGTCATCATCTGTATCCAGGTCAGTATAGCTTGAATCATATACACCAAGTATATTTTATGTGATTTGTTCTGTTCTGTCCTTCCTTCATGGATGAGGTGGGAAGAAACATGTATTTTAAGAGTGAAAAGGATGCAAGGATAAGTTTTGCCATACACCTACTAGTGTCTTGGTTTTCCAGGTCTTTATCGATGTGAATTTCAAACTTCCTAATTCCTTAAGAGATTGCATCCATCTCAGGGTAAAAATTACAGCATAACTAACCGTGAGGCAGATGAAGTTACACATCTGTGGGCTGCTTTGCTTTAAGCCTGCCCCATAAAGAAGAAGTTGGAGCTACAGTAGTGGTATGGTGTAAAAGAATCTGTGGGTGTAGCGCTTGAGAATTATTGTGTTGGAGAAAACCTGAAGATTTGAGCTGCATCAACATTCAGAGTTTCAGCACTTTATATGGAGCAAGGTAGAGAGATGGAAAGGAAGAGTTGAGCACAGTTAGTACCTGTGCTAAAGGTGCTCAGTGTAGCTCATGTGCTCTTCCAGGAAAGCAAGCACTTATTACAGAACCACATCCAGTCTCTGTCTTGAATATTCTCAGTTGAGTTACTGCACAAATAGGGAGGGTAATAGCAAGTAATATCTCACTTTTTCCTTTAGATCCATGTGTTTTTTTTTTTTTTGTGAGTTTGTAACAATTATTTATGATGTTTCACTAAGACTGATTTTGCATCAGTACAATCCCCCACACAGCTTGCCTTTCTGCTTCCATCAAAGTATTTGCCAGATCCTTACCCAAAACTGTAGATAAACTACTGATGGGTAACTGTCCGTTTAGGGTATTTTGTTGACTTGAATGAACCATGAGAAAGTAAGGTCATGATGAACTTGGCCTTATGCAAATGAAGGAGCAGACAGCTGCTACATGAAAGAGCTTGCACCGTAAATACCTGCAAAGATACGGAGTGGCAGCAAGCATTTGTCAAGGTTTATCTTTTTTTTACAGCAGGTCCTTGCCGTGGTTTATGCTGATCTGGCAACTAGAACTCCACACAGCCACTCTCTCCCTCCTTCCCCAGTGAAGTGGAGAGGAGAAAGTTATAATAAAAGGACTGAGGGTCGAGACAAGAACAGAGAGGGAGCACCCACCAGCCATGGTCCCGGGCAAAACAGACTCGGTTTTCTCAAAGCAAAGCAATTTATTAAGAGTTACTTAAAAGGACAAAGGGAAACAAAACCAGTTACTTGAGAGGATAAAAAGAAACAAAGCCAGATCTTAAAAACAACACCTTCTTGCCGCTCCCGCCCCAAACCCCCCCCCTTTCCTTTTCTTCCCAGCCCTACTTCCTCCCCCAGTGGCACAAGGGAACAAGGAATGGGGGTGTACAGGTCAGTTCATCCCATGTTGTTCCTCCTGCTCCTTTCTTAAAGGAGGAGGAGTCCT